ATATATACCTAGCACATTACCCTCCACTGGGTGTAGAATGAGCAGCAATAAACTACATTTTGGCATTTTATTATACTTCTGTGGATATTTTGGTGAAAGTAACTCAAAAGTAACTCAAAAGTAGTGTAACGCATTACAATTCAGAGACAGTAATATTGTAATGTAACTAATTACTTTCAAAAGACAGTAACTAGTAATATATAATGTATTACATTTTGGAAGTAACTTGCCCAACACTGGATATGAGTCATTGAATATAACAGACAAAGTGATTCATTAGCTATTAGCTTGTCTTATGCAGAAATAAGGTTGAGAATATGCAGTAGGATTAATGATAGTTAGCTCTCACTAACAGTGTCTCTGAAATAGTGTAACTGTTAAATGCTTTTAGATATATACCTAGCGCATGAATCACAGAATGCTTTTTTTATATTCCTGTTCAGAGTATTTTGAGCACAACAGCTTCGAGCAGTTCTGCATCAACTATTGTAACGAAAAGCTGCAGCAGTTTTTTAATGAACGCATACTGAAAGAGGTGAGTCATCAGTGTTATTGGGATTTTTAGTATTGATCAGTGAATCATAACTACGCCCTTCTTAAAACTGACGCATGAAGTCATTTCATCTGTATTCTTTTTTCTTTGCAAGCACACAACTGTTCCGATTTAATGATTCCAGTTTAACTTCTTTTGAGACGTTCTTGTTCCAGCAGATTAAGTTAAGCATTTTCCCACTTTCAGCAAAAACAATGCACTTTTATCTTGTGTTGTTTTTTTTTTCTCCCCAGGAGCAAGAGCTGTATCAGAAAGAAGGCCTGGGAGTGAATGAAGTTCATTATGTTGATAATCAGGACTGCATAGGTCAGTGTCCCTTTGGCTGTTAATAACAATGTCCTTCCTCCATTCCATTCATTACGGGATGCACTATGGCCCATTGACGCCAACTTAAATATAATGAAGTCCTCCGCACGTAGAAATGCTATGGTCTCTAAACCCAATGTGCTACAGCACAAATGTAATTTCTTCTCAAATTCTGACCTTCAAAGGTCAAAAAACTGTTCCCAGATGACAAAACATAGTTATTTGTATACATCGCCATGTCTGTTGCTGTCTGGACAAATCATGCCGAAGATGAATATTCCAGCAGAAATCCATGCTGGGTGCCTGAGATAACACAGGAATGAATCCTGGGAGAAACCTCTCTTGAGCTCTCTGGAGAGGGTTTAGGAGATAAGATGAAGAGCTCGCACTGTTTTAGTTTTTTAATGCCGGCTTTAAAGGTGATCACTTGAGCAGTGCAGTCTGACCCAAATCACCCTGTCAGAAACAGAAAGTCAGTTCAATCTCAGGACACACAGTGAAAGCTTCACCCGGTTCACTGAATACAAATACCATCACCAGACCGAACAGTGCTGTCTGGAGGTATCCGAACCAATGCCTTTTACCTTTTTAGTCGGTCAGTATTTTAACCCCTAACGACTTATTGAAGATCTTCCTCGTATGTATTGCAAAAGAAACCACCTCTTTTTTCTTTTTTTTTGCCCAAGCTGTCAAATCTTAACGGCTTGTGTGAGTTTGCACAGTATGCAGGTGGCTTAACATAACATCTTGCGTCTGATGCGGCGCAAAAAGCAGGCACAAAAACCCTTGCATATCGCAGATGTCACTTCTTTTCCAAAGGGAAAAACTCACTTTACTTTCGCCAGCTCTGCTTTTCCTAATTCTCTCGATAGTGATGCAACACATGTCCTTGTGACTTCCAAATGGACGCATAGGTCCTTTCCCTGCATGTCTCCTCATCAATCACCTCACAATTATACTCGGGTGTCTGCTCATGCAAATACATGGCTGCGCTTGCATCCGCACCTCTCTCACCTGCGCATGTCTCTGATGAATTATGCATATGACGGATGCCTTCACACTGATTATCAAATAGGTCCATGTGTGCCTACAGAATTTGCATTCGTCCATTAAACTTGCTGAGTTCTACTTCACTTTGGGTAATACCTTCGGCGGGGGGATTGAATATATTAATTTACTATTCAACTCTAATTCATTCACATGAAAAGTTTCTGTCGTCAGTCCCAAACTTCTCTCTGTGACTTTACTGCTTTGCAGATCTGGTTGAGGCAAAGCTGGTGGGTATCTTGGATATTCTGGATGAGGAGAACCGTCTTCCCCAGCCCAGTGATCAGCACTTTGCAGAGACGGTTCACAGCAAGCACAAAGATCACTTCCGTCTCACTGTAAGATATGGTTTGGTTCATTCCAAAAGCCAATCGATTACCTCCATTGATCAGAGCATTCGGCACGGTCGTCTGTGAGTGACGTCACCTCCCAATACAAACACGCCCCCTAGTATAGTCCCGCCCCTGACGATGATTGGCAGCTTTCCATGTAGACATCGGAAATTCAAATGCAAAAGGAATTGCGATTCCATTTGAGTTTTGGCAGGTTACATGCCAAAAGAGCGAGAGTGAAAAAGCAGACTGGTAATTAATATTCCTATTTAAATATGACAGGCTCGTAACTCCTAAGACATGGGAAATACAGTTGCAAATGGACTTTGGTTTTTCATTTGAAATTTGGCAGTCACTGTGCGTTCGCGAAAGCGAAAATGCAAACGGTAATGCAGGATTTACAATTGCATTTGGATTGTCACAATTTATGCGTCCACATATTAAAAACGCAATTGAAAATACAATTTGCAATTCCTTTTGAAAATTGTCAGGAATATCGTTCCATACAATACAGTATAGCAAAGAAAAAAAAACTTAAACTACCAGCCTGCAGGATAGTTTCATACAGCCCCTCAGTAGTTAATAGTTTATCCTTCGTTCTGGACCACAGGTCAGTTTTTTTCACTCTGCATTTTCATCTGACCTTCAGTGTCAACATGTACATATCTTAATGGATTGTTAAAGAGTAGCCTAATATTTAGAGGAAGATGGCGTAAGAGATGGAATACGTTTTTTTTTTTTTACATACATCCTCATTATTCATCATAACCTATAGGCTAATTGAATACATAGGCCTGTATTCAAAAAATATACAGTGTAATTCAGATGTATCTCTTTGTCTGGGATTCATCTGATCTGTCATTATTTAATTATTCAACTAAATTGTCAAAATGCATACATTTACTTGAATGTTACAGAATGTTTAATTTAGTATTTCACGTTACTGACACTTAAAAAAATCATAAAAATATGTGTTTTAAAAAACGTAGGGGGGCTCTTTTGCCCTAGATAGGGAGTCATCTTACCACAGTGGGGAAAGATGGCCTTTTTTCCTGATTTTTAATTTTGTGTTATAAGAATTAAATTAGCAATTATTTCCATTAATTTCCCTAAATAATATATTGGATGAAGCATCATTATCCTGTTATCCATTCTAATGTTGTTTCCAAATATGTTACAGTTTAGCAATAAATTCACACCTTAAAGGGATAGTTCACCTTCAGTTGCTGGTCCCCATTGACTTGCATAGTTTTTTTTTTTTTTCTTCTTCATACTATGGAAGTCAGTGGGGACCAGCAACTGAAGGTGAACTATCCCTTTAAGGGAGGCATCTTCCGCCATCAATATTTCCATGTGGCTTATTACAACAAACATGTCTTATGCTAAAATTAAATAATACATTAAACTAAATATAAACTACAAATATGCATAGTGTACGTTTTTTGGCATTACATTAGGCTACTGTAACTTAATGTGCTTGAAAATACAATGGCACAATGCATAATTAGGCTACATTTTCTTTATGTAAAATTGTGTTTGCTACTTTATTTCTTTTGATTTATGGGGTTAAATATGACCAGGGCATTTCTTGGTAGTTTTTAATGTGATTCACCCTGACAGTCCAAACAATGTCAAGACCCAAATATGAAGGAAGTAGTAAAAATACAGCTGCAAAGATGGATTTTGCTGAAAGTTTAATTCTGTGTGTGTTGGTTTTTCAGGTGCCCAGGAAGTCAAAGCTTACAATCCACCGGAATTTGAGAGATGATGAAGGCTTCATCATAAGACATTTTGCTGGCGCCGTGTGCTATGAGACTGTAAGGTCCCAATTCACTTAGTTCATTCTGAATCCCTTTTTGTATGGAAACCATCTTGTTGTTTTAGTTCTGTAACGTGACAATGTTTAACATAAGTTAATTAATTTCTGCCACACTGTAAAAACAATTGGGGCCTTGGGGGAATCCCTTTGGTAAAGTTGTTGGTTTTTTTGTGAGGTTGACTTTGTGTTTATTTCTGTGTCTTGTGGGTTTTGTGTGTGTGTGTATGGTGTTATGTGTGTGAGCAGACCCAGTTTGTAGAGAAGAATAATGACGCCCTCCACATGTCTTTGGAGAGCCTGGTGTGCGAGTCGAAGGACAAGTTTGTCCGGGATCTCTTTGAGAACAACTCCAATTCCAAGGACTCAAAGCAGAAGGCTGGCAAACTCAGCTTTATCAGTGTGGGAAACAAATTCAAGGTGAATCTGTCCTTTAGCTTTACATTACTATTCTCCTGATAGTCAGGTAACACATTTTGTAAAAGTTGTTAACAGGCCTGAAGATAGGACAAAAAAAAAATTAAGGTCTCAAAACTACGGGCTTTCCTCAGATTAGGAGTTCCTCAAATGTTTGTCTTTAGACCGCTGTAGATTTTGTTTTGTGGGGCTTGCTATTCATCAAGTTGTTTTCTTTTTGTTCCTCTTGGTAGTTTTTGAGATACGTTTTACCTTTTACCTGGTGATCTAATTCCTTTCCTTCTAACATTTGCCCTTTCTCCGTCTTCCTCTCTTAGACCTTCTCCTGTTTCTTCAGCCTTTCCCTGTGAAAAGTTCTGGGGCTGAAATAAATATGTAAAGAGAAACAAGGAAAAAAAGTGAAAAAACTGAAGCTTTTGTAGGGTAAGCCTGGCTGAAATATTCAGTGCCGGCACCACAGCGTAACCTGCAACCTCATAAACAAATGCAGATCTTAGTTTTCTCCCACCCTTCTCTTCAAACCGCTTTCACCCACTTGGTCCATTGCCATGTCTTTGTGCCAGTGTGGCTGCCACATTTTTGGTGTCTGTTGTAGTTGTTTGTCATGAAATCATACACATGGAATTTATACATTAAGAGAACCTTCACTGTAAACACATCACCATGCCATTTATGTCACCATTATATACTGAATTTGTAGAAAAGATCTTCACAGTTGGACTAATACCGGCATAATGTATGACTGTAACTTCCTGTGTGTGTGTCAAAATGTGTGATACCATTTGCATGGCAGCACAATTCTACAACTGTGTAAACTGATTTTTATTTTAATTTTTTTTACGAAAAGATACTCTTAATTAAAATGTACAGTACTCACTCTCACATTTCATTTCTGATTAACTTTCATAGACCCAACTGAACCTTCTACTGGAAAAGCTACGCAGTACAGTGAGTAATGGGTTATTTACTCATTTTAAAAACGTTGGCCTTGTTTTGGTTATTACTGAGTGTGTCTAATGCATGCCGCAAACCAGGCGGCACAGCAAATGATGCAACGTGACAGTTGCTGATTTATGGCACTAGTAAATGACACATTAAAATTAACAAAATATGCTTGTTTGCTTTGCATGTCAGGCTGTCTAAGTTGGCCGTTCTTGGCCAGAATATGCTGTATGGACCCTTTTCACAGACTGTGCAATGATGCAAAAAAGTAAATCTAGCTATTGTTTTTTATATTTTATTTTGTTAAATGATTTAATGCATATATTTAACACCTTAAGATATATTATCCTGGTATTTAATAACAAACAAAAAAAGTCAATGGTGCTGTAATTAATTTTTATTTATTTATTTATTTTTAAAATACAGCTGCTAAGCAAGTGGCTGTAAATTTGACATCTTTGTCTATTTTGATTGTTAAAATTTATCTCTGCTTTTGCAATTTCGTAGAAACACAATAGTGTTTTTTTTGTTTATTTTTTATTTTATTCGCTGTTGCTGAAAATATTGTCTTTCATTTACACTAACGTTTAAACATTTGGGTCAGTAAGATTAAAGAAAAAAAAAAACATTTATTCAGCAAGGATGCATTTATTTTAAAGTGACAGTAAAGATATTTTTAATGTTACAGAAGTTGTATTCACTATTTCAAATAAATGCTGTTCTTTTGAACTTTCTATTCAGCAAAGAATCCTGAAAAAAGTATCACGGTTTCCAAAGATGTTAAGCAGCAAAACTCTTTTCAACATTGACAATAATTGGAAACATTTCTTGAGCACCAAATCAGCATATGTGACCCTGGACCACAAAACCAGTCATAAGGGTCAATTTTTTTAAATTGAGATTTATACATCATCTGAAAGCTGAATAAATAAGCTTTCCATTGATGTATGGTTTGTTAGGATAGGACAATATTTGGCCGAGATACAACTATGAAGATCTGGAATCTGAGGGTGCAAAATATATATATATATATATATATATATATATATATATATATATATAAACGTAAAATATATTATTGTAACTATAAATAATATAATAATTTCTCATGTGTATGTGTTGTAAAGGGCTCTAGTTTTATCCGTTGTGTCAAGCCTAATCTGAAGATGGTGAGCCATTTGAAGGAGATATATATATATATATATATAAACGTAAAATATATTATTGTAACTATAAATAATATAATAATTTCTCATGTGTATGTGTTGTAAAGGGCTCTAGTTTTATCCGTTGTGTCAAGCCTAATCTGAAGATGGTGAGCCACCAGTTTGAAGGAGCTCAGATTCTTTCTCAGCTTCAGTGCTCGGGTATGTATACAATTTTATAGGTGTATTTTTTAGGTTCCCAATTCATTTCGCAGCACTTGTGGTAATGCTTCAAATATTTTAATTTAAGAAAACCTGTCACAAATATACAGCACTCATCAGTCGCAAGCTCCGTTTTAAAACAAATCCTGATATTGCCTATGGTGCGGCCATATTAAATGTGAGCTCCACTGATTTTTCATTATGTTTTGGAGGTGGTGTTACCACAAGAGTTTTTGAAGGTTGCTGTTATTGCTTTTTATAGGCTGTTAGCAAAGTTTTAGAAATAAACTTTCAGGCAAGAGATATAAGAAAAGTATATCCTAGGAGCTGCACTGGTATGTCGATTTGCCAATTAGTTCGATACTTTAGACCTTCGTTGACTAGTCGTGCACCACATGAGATAAATGTAGACTCATCAACTACAGTACTTGCCTAGTAGCAAGTAAGTACTACTTAGTAAGTTCTAAGTGTCCTAGTTTATACTCCTATAAACTCATTCTGTGAATTTTGTTGACAAAGGCAAGCACATATAGTGTTCAGTTACAGGTTGAGTGCACATTACAAAGAATAAGATGTTGAATCTCCCTTTAAACTTGGTTCATGCTTCAGCTCTGGTCTGTAATGCAGTAAATCCTGTATCTTCACTGGCTACATGATCTGTACTTCTCTTCTCCTCTCAGGCATGGTATGAAAATTTAGCTTTGCCATCACAGGAATAAATTAAATTTTAAAATGTATTAAATTAAAAAAAACTTATTTTAAATTGTAGTAATATTTCTCAATATTACAGTTTACTGCATTAAAATTCAATAAATGTAGCTTTGGTGAGCATTAAAAAACGTATAAAAAATACATTAAATTATTATTATTATTATTATTTTGAATTTTGTTGACAAAGGCAAGCACATATAGTGTTCAGTTACAGGTTGAGTGCACATTACAAAGAATAAGATGTTGAATCTCCCTTTAAACTTGGTTCATGCTTCAGCTCTGGTCTGTAATGCAGTAAATCCTGTATCTTCACTGGCTACATGATCTGTACTTCTCTTCTCCTCTCAGGCATGGTATCAGTGCTGGACCTGATGCAGGGTGGCTTCCCCTCCCGAGCTCCGTTTCACGAGCTTTACAACATGTACAAGCAGTACATGCCCAACAAGCTCACAAGGCTTGATCCTCGACTCTTTTGCAAAGTAAACCTCTATTGTTTTTGATCTTGATTTGCATCTAAAATTAATAGCTCTTTCTATTCTTATTGTTATTCACATGATGTTCTTGTGTATATAATTAGGATTAGTATGATAGATGATGGCTAGCTGGATTATTTTTAGAAAAGGCTATATGACCTTTCATATCCATGTGCCAAAGCACGCACAGAGTAATCCCTCATTGATTTCCATGATAAATGATAGTGGTTTATCATCGGTAGTTACAGATGCATTTGAAAGTCAAATTGCATTTTAATCATACACCCGTGGTTAAATATAAAGTATTTACTTCATCATAAAATGTACAATTAGATCCTATACTAATACAGTATATGAGCAGGCTGCAATTTAATGATTGATTGCAGTTATTGAAAATTACTTCTTTATTCTGACGATTGCATCATGCTTGTAATGCAATGTCTAGAGTATAATTAAGGTTTAACAATAGGTTTTTTTTATTCCTGTCAGGCCTTTATTTTGGATTTTCACATATTTTAGGAGCATTTTTTATGTCTGAAAATGTATTTATATTTTTCTTTAAATGTTGTTTTTCCCCCAAAACCCAAAAAATTGTTTGCAATTTATGTTTTTCATTTGCAACAACAGCTGGAAATCTTTACCTCTATAATGTAACTCTTTGACCGCTATAATCTTCATAAACACTTTTGCTGGAAAGTGGTATAAGTTGCAAAACATTACTACCTCGGTTACAGTGTGGCCATGGTGTTTTTGCATCTATCTGGTATTTCTGAGCTGTCAGTGACAAATCTGAATTATTTACTGGCTCATTGGAAAGGAAAAGTCTTTTAAAAGTCTATTTTCTAATTCTTAGAAATGTGTTACTTAGATAATGAAAAATCAGGCCTTTAGTTTGGATTAGCATATTTTAGGAACATATTTGCTTTATAAATGTCATTTTAAAACGGTTTACAACAATTTGTGTTTTTCATTTGCAATACCAGCTGGACATTTTTCCACTATAATGTAACTCTTTAACAGCTACAAACTTCATAAACACTTCAGCTGCAAAGTGGCAGAAGTCGGAAAACATTACTGACTTGTTTATTGTTTTCAAATCATTCTGATTCTAACTCACAAGTCACTCTTGCAATAATGTTAAAAACAGCACCGAAAACCAAATGTTTAAGTTTCCAAGGCATAAAAACATCAAATGTAACATCATTGAAATGAACGAGCATAAGCACAGGCTCGACGCCGTCATGCCATTCTTGTTGATATCTGATAGACATTTAATAAAGTACACACTGCACTGTCTGATTATATTGTCTCCTTCTGCAGGCTCTGTTTAAAGCACTTGGCCTCAACGAGAACGATTACAAGTTTGGCTTGACCAGGGTTTTCTTTCGCCCCGGGAAGGTGATAATTTCTTATGATATTTCTCATGAGGGTTGGGATAATACAAGACTGTTATAACCGCTGTACTTTTTCATTAAGCTGGTGCACATGGGAACCTCGTAAATGCAGCTATATAAATCCTAACGTGTGTCTGTGTTTGCCTCAGTTTGCAGAGTTTGACCAGATCATGAAGTCCGATCCGGAGCACCTGGCCGAGCTTGTAAAACAGGTCAATAAGTGGCTGGTGTGCAGCCGCTGGAAAAAGGTCCAGTGGTGCACACTGTCAGTTATTAAATGTACGTCACCCTTCATAACCACAGTAAACTGCCTTTCAAAAAAGCAATTAGAAGCATCCCACGCCCTCCCATTCACCTTTGCAGTGTTACATCGTCTTCCACTTTCTTTTACTTGGCACAGTGAGGAACAAAATGAGCTTCAGGGCCAGTGCCTGCATCAAGATTCAGAAGACTGTTCGCATGTGGCTATGCAAAAGAAGACACAAGCCTCGGTATGTACACACACACACCAGCATGCCTCTATTAGTGACCGTGATTTCTCATGCATTGCAAACTCAGTGTGAGGATCTGTTTTCCAACACTTACGTCAGTGTGGTGTCTCTGTGTTGTTAGCATCTATTTGGTGTTTTTGGAAAGCTGTCAGTGACAAATCTGAATTGTTTATTGGAAAAATCTTTTAAAAATCGAGTTTAAATTGTATTGCAAAATGTATTCTTTGTATTCATGTTTGTTTCATATGGTTTTGAAATTTTTTATTAGGGCTGCACGATAAATCGAAATGGAATCGAGATCGCGATTCGACAGAAGTTGCGATTGTCATGCGTATCTTTCAGTGAAGCACGGTTCTGTAAA